TATTTCAGAGGATGCCCGGGTCCTCTCTGCCCCCGCAAGGGTGGCTAGTTACCTTTGGTTCTTGGTGACTGAGGAAGACCAAGCCAAGATGAACGGGGTGGAAGCGCCCTGCCTGTTCACTGAAACTCAACAGGCGTTAAACCAGGTAACTTCAGATACCTCTTGATGACTTCTAATCTGTACTTAGATTAATTTATAGATGATCATAACTTTTCCCTTTGTGTTTGTAGGCCTCGGTGCTCCATCATGAGACCTGCTCCGATACCAAAGAGCTAAACCAGTATGAGGCCGAGATTCGAGGCTCACTGAGAAGAGAGATGCTTACAAACTTCTCAACGAGCAACGTGAAGGGGATGCTAAGAGCCTCCGAGCTGAGCTAGAGGCGACACGAAAAGAGCATGCCGACCTGGTGGAGAAGGTAAAAGTCTTTGAGGTTAGTGACAATGATCTAGACTCAGTGACTAACGCTCCGAATCCGTAGGTCCAAAAGAATCTTGATCGGATCGATCAACTTCGGGCACAGATGGACATGGTAAAGGCCGAGGGCGAAGAATGGAAAAGCAAAATGGATCGCTTGGCCTCGAAAAAGGAAACTGCCCAGGAACAATTGGCTTCGGCTGAGGTCCAGCTTCGAGCTGCAAAGGAAAGGGCCTTGGTGAATGCCAAGAAGACTGAGGAGCTCCAGTCTCAGCTGAGTTCGGCCGTCTCCGATCAAGAAAATCTAGCCAATGAGCTTGAAACGGCCAAGTCAGTGGCCGAGGTAGTTAAAACCGATGCCGACGAGATGGTGGCCCAATATAAGGCCGACGCCGAGGCAGCCCAGATTCGAGCAAAGGATATCATCGAGCACGCGAATCAGCAATCCCAAAGGGAGGCCCTCGAGGAAATTCATGCTCGGGGTTTCGACTTATCGGCTGAAATTGAGAGTGCCAAGGAGCTCGAAGCTGAGGCCAAGAAATTAGCTTGTCCTGAGGATGATAAAGATTCTGAAGATTTGAGCGATCCCGAGGATTGAGGAGATACCAAAGGTCCTGGTGATGAGGCGGGCTCCGATGAAGACCAGGCCGTTTAAATGCCTTGTACATTTTTTCTTTGTTTTTTGTATCTTTGTACTTGTGTAATTCTCTTTTTTGTTGAGGTCGTTTGGCCTTTGTAAAAATTTGTATCGAGGCCGTTTTGGCCCTTGTAAAAATCTTTTGATATGTATATAAAGTTGTTTTCCCTCCAGCAATTTCTGAGTTTTTTTCCTTTGCTTTATTATTTATGTTTGCAAGGATTAAAATGCCTTAGCACGAAATAGTTAGGTCATGTTCGGAGGTTTGAACAAGCCTTGCTCTCAACATTATTTTGTTTTGAGGCATCGTGAGGGTTCGGTGTGACCGGAAATTTTTTCCCAATGTACTTATACTTTTTTAGATTATAGTTTGCCGAGGGTAGCCTTTAGAATCGGTTAAGAAATTTTAAGGCCTTGTTATTTTTGTTACGAGTTCCGGACGTCTCCGAGCCGTTTTAATTTGGCCATAGCCTTTTTAGTTCGGGTGCTGCCCAGTGAGCTTGTCACCCCGAGTTATCCGGACTTGCCTAAGATAACAGTCCCCGAGTGGGGATGACTGTAGCCTTTAAAATTTGGGTGTTTCCTAATTAGTCTTTTGCCCCCAAGATCTGATAGCTCGGACTGTCCGAGTTTGTTTTCAGACGATTGTCCCCGAGTGAGAGTGATTGTTCGAACTCGGATAAGGTCGCCCTTAGGCTCGATACCTTTAGGGGATCGGATGTACTAAATCCCTTAAGAAATGCAAGAAAAATTTTAAGGGACAAGATATTTGTCCGCAAGGAAGAGACTTCTTTTTATTCTTGTGCATAATAGTAATACATGTGTACATGCTTTGTGCCAGGGCTCGAGCAGTCTATGCGGGCACGGTTCATTTAACCGTTTGGCCCTTACAATAAATCCTATTGATTGAGACCATTCAGTCACGAAGTTTCATTCCTTGCTAAAGTCGATATCTGAGGGTAATGCCTCCCAGTATTCGAGGTTGATCATAGAGAGAAGCCTCAAATACTGTTAATGCGATCTTTGACACCGATTCACGACCAGCCTTCTATTCTAAGTTAGCACGACCCACTGCTGCCTTGTTAAAAACCTTGCCGGAAAACTCATTTGGGACAAAACCGGTTCAAGGGAAAAAGAGTGCAATGCGTGCTTTCGGGTCTAAAAATTGTACTGTTCCTTGCTAATTACCTGCAAGTGTTAGTTCAAAAATAAGTAAAAGGAAATCAATGGGGCCGTACCTTAGCAGTAGTATCGCTTCAAGTGAGTTATGTTCCAGTTATTTGGTAGTCGTTCACCGTGTACCCTTAAAATCGAATAACAACTGAATTTGTAAGTGGTTTTAAGGATACACGGATTAATTTGACACAAAGAGATAAATTAAATTACAATTAAAGTGAACAATGATAAAGTAAATTCAAACCGCACAGCTTGAACAATTACAGTCTTGGAAAGTAAGTCTCTCTTGAACTGGATGCAATTTGATCAATATCAAGATACAGAAGAACAAGAGCATAAAGAATGAAATTAATAATATATTGCTTTGGAATGCGTGTTACAATGTGTTTTACAAGTAATCAGACCCCTTTTATATAGCACGGGAGTCCTACTTTATGTATAATTCTATGAAAGGTAAAAATCTCTTGATTTGCCGATTTGCCGGTTCCTTATCGATACGTGCCGAGATTCCCGCCGTAATATCCGACCAGCACGGATATTTCGGCCTTCTGTTATTTCGGTCTTCTGTGGGTTATGCTGACAATGTTTCCTCGAGCCCGTTCGGAGTCAAGGTCGATTCCGGGGTCACGGACTCAATATTCTTGAGGACGGACATTCTGAACACGGGTTCTGGCCCGGTGAGGACCAGGGGTCGAGCTTCAGTCCCTCTGTTCCGAGCCCGATCTACCATGTCGTAGACGAGCCCAGTTTCTACCGTATACATATATAAAATCATACATATTTAAAATAGAAGTATAATTGCTATGCATAATTTTTCAGACAACATTCTTTGTATATAACAGTGTACACATTAATAAAATATTACTAATATTAGCCAATTAGCTATTCGTAGCCAAAAACTGTTAAATTTTGCTTTCTTTGTTGTTGGAATAGATTGGATACACTAAGGAGTTTACATCTAAGTTTTAAGAGGATTTGGTAGAGTTCTGAGGTTGTTTGAATTGAAATTTGAAGTGGATGAACATGGAAAAAGATGATATGTGTATCACACTGTGTATTATTTGTGTATCATATTTGTATCATATTTGTATTAAATGTGTATCACATATATACCTGTGTGTGATATACATGCGTGATACATGTGCCGCAGAAGAATTTTTTGAACTCGATTTAACTATGACTTTTGATATCAAAATCAGTCAAATCACCTCCAATCTTCCTCAAATTTTGTATATTGACTTGTCTATATGTTTTCAGCGAATTTCAACCATACCCATTGAAAAGGTCTCTCTCTCTCTCTCTCTCTCTCTCTCTCTATATATATATATATATATATATATATATATATATATATTAGTTTTATCACCTTATTTGCTACCTCATTAACAAAAAAAAATCTTTCTGTCATGCATCTAATGTTGTTGATCATGCTTAAAAATATGAAAAGAAATCTCTGCGTGTAATTCTTGGAGAGAAAGAATTCTTATTTATTTGGATTTTTTGTATGCGATTTGCTAGTTTTGATAAATGTATGATTAATGGCTAGAGGTGGTAAGTTAGAACTATTTGAGACATTTCTGTAAGATTCCCTATTTTATACACATACACATCATAATATACAATTGATTGTACCTCGTGGGCCTCGTGGCGCTTGACTTTAGTTGAAATAGCAAGGGCTAGCCAGTTTTCGGACTGGTCATTCAAAAATAGCCAGCGTTTGCAAAGTCATTGAAAAATAGCCACTATTTTGCTGCAATACAGAAAGTTCCAGCATAATATACTGGAGATCGGTGCACCTGTGTATGAACTTCCAGTATATTATGCTGGAACTCCAACACGCGGAAAGTTTCAGTATAATATACTGGAGATTGGAGCACCATCTCCAGTATATTATACTGAAATTCCAATATATTATATTGGAGTATTTTTTCGAATTTTGAACAGTGTTTTCGTTCAGATTTATCTTTACATGAAAAGTGGCGAAATTTCGATTACTTTTGAAACTGTAACTAGTTTTGCATGACCACTTGTAAATTTGGCAATTTTCGAATTTCTCGCTTGACTTTATAACCTTACACTGCATCTTTTTGTTGATGGAGTAATTTTGCATTATACTCACAATCGTGTCCTTATATACTTGATCCTCCTCAATTCTTTTTGAAAAATATTACTCCATATCTATAATATCTAAAGCTTCGTCTTCGGTGCATTCACTCTCAATCTTCATGTATACGGGTAAAACCGAGTTCATGATGCACCTCGACTTCCAACAAGATAAGCCAAGCTCGAGATGTGATGGCAAGGGACAAAAATCAAGCCGAAAGTCCCATCGAGCCGGAGCACGGGACACGATACCTGCCCTCGGGAATATCAAGGTCATAGTTCCAGAATCCGTTTTAGCCTAAAACAACTTCGAAGGACATTGTCAACAATCAAGCATAACCAACGGAAGACCGAAATATCTGTGACCGGCAGGATATCACGGCGGGGATCTCGGCACGTGTCGATAGGGAGCAGGCAATCAGTTAATCGGAAGATTTTTAACCTTTCAAGAGACAAACTTCACCCTTGTCAGAAAAGTGCACCAAAAATTATTAAGGTATGTTTAGGCCAGATTAGACAGTTGGATGGATAGGCAGGACCATGTTTCCCATGCTAGTAATTGTGCCAAAATTCTAAACCAATTTAACAAGGAAGTAATCAAGGTCCAATCAATGGAAATGTTAAGTCTGATGTAAAACATACTACACCTAGATGCATATTAATCTCATAAACAATTTCTTTTTAGTATCAATTATAGCTCAAAATTTGACAGCAAATTCAAGAGAGAGGCTAGATGAATAAATCCAATTCCTATATTTTCCTAAAACTAGCCCCAAATAACCCAATCATTCAAAAAAGAGCGAAGTTATACACCAGCATTGTTTAAGAATCTCAACTGCTTGAGCTATCATCATCAGAAGATTGAGATAAGCATCTTTTCTGTTTGGGCATTAAATGATGATTCATTAAAAATTGGCCAACTTCAGCCTTAGCCAACAGAGCTTCTTTGACCCTAATCTCAGCGTTAATCCTCGAGATAACGGCAGCATTGTTGATAGACTCAAAAGCAATGGAAGCAGCGGCGAGCAACTGTTTAGCCAAATGTAGGTTGATCTGGACGGGTTCAGTGCGAGGAAGGTTGAAAAAGGTGAAATTAGGGTTGGAACAGGGAGGGCACAAGTAATGAGCAGGAGCAGGAGCAGCAACATCACATGAGAGGTGGGCGATGGAAGGGCATTTGAAGCAATGGAGACGGAGACGAGGAGGAGGAGGGTTGTTGTGGAGGAAGACTTCGAAGCAGATAGGACAGAAGGAACCAGGGTGCGCCGCCAGTACGCAGGCGGTGCAGAGGCGGCGGTGGAGACCTCTGTAGGGAAGAAGGTGGAGGATGAGAGGTTGCCGGGCGGTGCAAACCTCACAACATCCAGACTGCTGCTGCATGGATCCGACCCTCACTTTCTTTTCATCTGCTCCGGCTGCAGCTCTATTTAGGGTTGAATTACTTAAATATATGTCACTAAGAGTAGCTAATAGCCCAAATTTATTTGACTTGCTTAATCTGTTCAAGTTCGGAGTTTGTTTGGACTGGACATATTTTTCATTGTTAAATTAGCATCTGATTTATTTTGGACTAAATATACAGCCCAAATTTCACCCATTTAAAAAAAAAATGATTTTTTATAAGGAATTTTTACCTCCTATAGCAAAGGTTAATACCTTATTTTATTTTAAATAAATATCATTTAAAAAAATTATACTCTATAGATACCTTTTAATGTTTATAGCAAAATATCTAATTTTGGTTAACTCCTACTCCTAAGCCACTAAATACGCTATTCAGTTGCAATATTTTCTTTCTCTCTCTACTTTGATACAACTTTTACCTCAGATTTCTCATAAAGAGCTCTCCAATTCCTTCCCACCATCGCCATTAACTGAAGGATCAATTTATCAACAATTATTAACCAAACTAAACAATCTAATCCAGTTATTTGGAGAGAAAGGATTAAACCCTAAACCCTTCCATTGCAATTACAACTGCAGAAGAAATCCTTACGTCTCCCTTACAATTCCAAGAATTTTCTGGCGTAACTTTCGTGTGCCCATCCTTCAAATCGTTTTCCTCCGGCTCTTCCTTTAACAAAGGCACAATTTCTGTTGACGGCAGCCATGGCTTCCTATTGTTGTTAGAAGGGAAACGAGCCATGGCTTCCTGTTGTTGTTGTTGCTTCTGACGTTATTGTTGCATCTGCTGCAGTAGGAGTAGCTGGAAATTAGGGTTTGTTCTTGAACAAAGACGATGAATTTTGGGGCTGAGCAACTTGATTTTGTGTTAATATATTTCAACTCACGTTGTATTTTCATGTATTTCATTGTATTCGTTGTATTTTTTTCATTGTAATTCAATGTATCTCGTTGTATTCCATATATTTCATTGTATGCACTGTTTTTTTTTCTCATTGTATTTCAATGTATCCCACTGTATTCTATGTATTTCATTGTATTCGTTGTCTCGATATATACCATGAATATATTCATATATTTTTTTTAATTAATATAATTTATGTATTCAGATGTATTATATAATTTCTCTGAAGATTGCTATATTTTTGGGGTATTTTTCGGTTGAGAATCTTTTTTATAACTGAAAATACAAAATTTGTATGTTATAATTGAGTTTGTTGAGTTATATTAGGAGTGTGTTATGTTAATTGATTCACTTTCCGTTTTAAAAACAATGTAATCCCCTATTTCACGCCGTGAATACATTCGAATACAATAATCTGTCCAGCTGTAATCCCATGTTTCACTCTATGAATACAATCGAATACACTCGAATACAACAACTGATTAGCTGGACTTCCCTGATTCACGCCTATTTTTGCTACTGTATTCATGAATACAATAGCTTAAATACATCAAATACATGTTATAACCACAGAAAAGGTATCTATAATCCGTAATATAGCAAATGGTATCTATAGATGTCTAATTACTACTAAAAGATAGTGCTTTATGAAAATTTCTCTTTTTATAAAGCACTATAGATTAGAGCCTAGTAACTATAGTTGGCCTAATTATCATTTATAGCTATAGTTGGCAGCATGTGTCAATTGTATTTGTTTGCGCAACGAATATAATATGTATCAACTATATTAATACTCGCAACGAATACAACCAAGTCGAAACAGAAATACAGAAAAATAAAATGCTCTTGCTGAGAGCCAAACTCAAGACCTTTGCTAACTAAGCGAACGTTCAAACCAATTGAGCTACTCATATTTCATATCAAAACAATTAATCTCTTATTTTATGGATTTGCTATAAAATTCAAATAAAGCCACAAATGATAAATGTTTTGAAAGTAAAGCTACGAATGGTACATATAGTACATATATTTGACGTGTCGCATAATTTTCCCTTAAAAATGTGTGGAAGATATTTTTAAGATTATTCCTTTTTTTTTTGGCTAGGTTAGATATATAGTCATAATAGAAAAAAATGACATTTCGGTAAGTAATTTAAAAATTATTAGAAAATAAATAAAAAAGTAAAATTTGATTAGAGTTAGGCAGGTTGGCAAATGACTATTGTTTTCGTCAGAATCGTCTTTGTCCAAGTAAATGTTGAGTAGAATTAGATAATGATGATAAAATTGTCTAAAAATATATGAACTATGTCCATTTTGACATGTCGGTCTCCATATTTCACGGGTTTTCATCCGAATACTTGAACGTATTGAATGTATTTTACACTCCTCTAATCGTCGATCGAGTTCACGTGATATTCTTTTGGTGAGTTGGGAAAAATATATAGGTACTTTTTGACCAAAAAGTATGAAACTCTTTGTTAAATTAGTTAAGTAAAAGGATAAGGGATTAATCATAGTCAAAGATAATATCCCTAGATCTAAAATCAGTTTATATGGATAATGTGGGACCACGTTGAAGTAGATTTAAAGTAATACGTAATAAATGATGTTGTTATTAATGTGATGAGAGCACGTAATAAATACCAATAAATGACACTAAATTTAAATAAGTAGGAAGATTCACCCAATAATGAAAGAGTTGGATGATTCCTTCTTCTGACAATGATGAATGACAAGAATATGAGAGAATATTATACACTTTCTCGGATTTGGTGGAAATGATAATGGATTGAATATAAGGGTCGAATCTCTATCTGAAAGTTGTTCTTTGTATTTATCTAAAGAGCTTACTTTTCAAAAGTGTTCTTATGAAATGGAATATTACATGCCCTTTTCCGTATCTCTCCTGCTATTTATATGGGATATTCCCGAAAAACCCCTAAATGGTACAACAGAAGGAATATTCAATAGAATATTCCATTTGTATGTTCCAAAGTTGTACTAGCCGTTACTTCTGTCGCTTGCTGCTCGACCTCGTCCCTTATGAGCCACTCAACGGCTTGTTCTATTCACCTTGATCGACCTCAGCCGAACTGTCCATGATAAGTTACAATTCTCACGATAATCACCTCCTCGTGCTGAATTTCCTCGGTCGGATTTTGACCCATACAGTTAGTTCCTCGCTTATCGAGGTCGTCTTTTGGTCGACCTCAATGAGCGGACTTTGTTAGTTACAGTTTGAGAGATTCGGATGGGGAGGTCGAGTAGTGAGAATCGCAGCCGAGGTGATGATGTGGCATTTTGAGAGCCACTCTTAATGATGTTGGTTCAGAAATGACGTCACAGCCCCATGCGTCATCATTACGCATCTTCCCGATGCGTTGCATCATTTCCTGCATCCCTGTCATTTCGATCCCAGTGCATTTGACTGTTATTTTTCTCGATCCGTGCCCGGTGTTCTCTATAAATAAAGGGGGGAAACCCTTTGAATGAAACTTTACACTTTCCAATCTTTCGATCCTGCATATCTTCTCCTCTTCTTCTTCTTCTTTCAGTATTCCTATTTTCAGCAACTTTTGCCATTATCACTTCTGCACTTTCAATTCCTTCACACCTATATAACAAAAGATGGGTAGTACATCTTCCAACCCTGAGAGGACCTTTGACCCAGTTCCGTTGTCAGTGGTCATGCCCTCTCATGATGAAGCGGAAGCCATTGTTGTAGAGGATGAGAGCTTCCCTACTGTGGAGGAAATCATTCCTCGTAATTCAGGCTCCAGGTGGGACTTCTCGAAGTCACTTGCGGACTAACCCGAGCCTGCGAAATCCGAGATGGAAGCAGCCCATCTTGCCGTGCTGAGGACCAAGTACAACATTCCCGCTCACATCGATCTGGTCCCAACTGGAAATGACGTGATCCAGATTCATCGTCCTGGGTATTGCGTGTTTTACGCGTACCTGTTCCAAGTGGGCTATTCTTTTCCTCTTTCCTTGTTGGAGGAGGAATTCTGCCGCTATTACGGTATCTGTCTGGCCCAGCTCTCCCCCTATATTTACAAACTCTTTCTTATGTTGATAAAGTGTGCGGAGCTGGCCGACCGTGGGATTCCATCCGCCATCTACTGCATCTTTTCGCACCAAGCTTCCACAGGGCTACGATGATACATCTCCGCCACCGTGGGACCAACGGACTGGTGGTGAAAATGGACGATAAGATGAATCGTCGATTTTGGGTCAACTTTTTCTACATCAAAACCGAGCACGTGGTGGCGAACACCAGTGGGTTCCCCGAGGAGTGGAACTTCGCTCGTAAGTGTTTTTGCTAACTGATTGTTTGTTCTCTCTTCGGTGACTTGATCGTTCTTCTTTCTTTTTGTGTAGCCGAGAAGGATCCTCCTATGTTGGTTACCGATCTTCGCGACTGGGTAGCTCAAATTTTACCCCACACAGTAGGAATCCGTGAATGGTCATCGTTCAACAAGAAGTTTGGACGTAAACCTTCTTCGACCGGTAAGTTAAGTTTCGATCATCGGTCACTTCGACCTTATTGCCGTCTTATTTTTATCTTATGTAGCTTTTCTTTGTTGTTAGGCCGGAGGGTTCCGAGGAAAGCGAAGGCTCCCACCCTTGTTTTTCGTCAATCGGGCACCTTGACCGGGTCTCTACTCACTGTAACTGCAGGCGAGTCCGCATAGACTGCTGCTTCTTCTCAGGCCCCGGCCCTGCGTGGGCCTGGTCGTCGGGTGGCTGCCCCATCAGTGGAGACTCCGACTTCTCCTATTCTGCGTTTGGTGGACGAATCATCGCCGAACAAGGAGGAAGCAATTCCGCTAAAAAGATGGAGAGTAGAGGTCGTCGTCGAGGCGGTGAGGAACGAAGAGCTAACGAGGGGCGATCCTGAGCAGGCTGCGGTTGCACCCGAGAGTGGCATGGGTTTGGACGCAGAGACTGCGTCTCCTTCAGATGTGGGGATTGCTCCCTTGTCAGAGGTCGCTGTGGAAAGAGGAGGATGATCAAAGTCTGTGGAGGTCGTTCTGAAGAGTGATCCGTCGATATCAGAGTGGATCGACATTCCTTCCTCTCTGCAAGAGAAGGAAAAAGGTGTGGCCGTAGATGATTATGAGTCCGGTTCCGATGTCGACCCCGAAGAGGAAAGCATGTTCGATGAGGGGTTTACCCCAGTGGAGGGAGAATGGATGGATCTACTCATTCTATAGTCATTC